GCTTGAAGTCCCCCAGGAGAACCAGGGCCTGTGAGCGTGAGGCTACTTCCAGCTGTCGGTAGAAGGCCTCATCGACAACTTCCTCCTGATCAGGTGGCCTGTAGTAACCCCCCACCACCGTGTCACCCATGTTAGCCTGCCCTTTAATCCTTACCCATAGGCTCTCCCCTTGCTCTTCATCCACTCCTAGGCAGAGCTCCATACATTCTAGTTGCTCCCTCGCATAAAGGGCAACTCCACCACCTCGCCTTCCTGGCCTGTCTTTCCTAAAAAGCACGTAGCCACCCATGACAGCATCCCAGTCATGTGAGCTAGCCCACCGTGTCTCTGTCACTGCAATGAGATGATGGCCCTATGAGCGCACACAGATCTCTAATTCTTCCTGCTCATTCCCCATGCTGCGTGCATTGGTGTACAGGCATTTCAGAGAGCCAATCGAGCATGCAGGCTTCTCAGGAGAGGTGCAAGAGGATCCTCCATAGCCGTGTCCCATGCTGTCTCCCGTGGCAGCGTGTACCCACTGGACACATCCTGACCTGAGCAGTGTTTTACTGACTACCCTGTCACTATACCACTCCCCTTCCCCCATCTTTCCTAGTTTAAAGCCCTCCTTACCAGGCTGGCCAACCTGTTGGCGAAGACATGCATGCCCTGCTTATTCAGGTGAATATGCTGCATATCTTTGCAGATGTGACTGCAGAGATGTGCCACCAGGCTCGGGGCAGTTGTTGCTGCAGCTTTTGCCCCTTGCAAGCTTCCTGCTGTGTGGGAGAGGCCTTGGGCTGAGAGCGCCATTGAATTCCTACTTGACCTGGTACCTCAGCATTGGAGTCTGGAACCAATTCCTTCCCATCATCAGAGGATTTGAATCAGAGTTTAATCTACCAAAGTAGGGCTAGCTGGAAGAATTGCAACAAAGTCCTAGTCTCCCATCTTTGAAAAAATACCCATCCAATCCCACCTGTAACCTCTCCTAGGGAACTGATGTTCTATTTTGCAGGAAAAATGGCTTGGAAGAAAGTTTTGAAACTTTAATTGAAAAATTCAGTGTGTTTTTTGGTTCAAAGTGACTATTTTCTTGTAGAGAATTAGAAATTAGAAAATGCACACACTGAGATCAAAACTGAAGCTCTTTGAAATGATACACATATGGATTTAAATGAGGAAAGTGTAACTGTTTCAGTTTAAAGCTGAAAAATAGCAACCCTCCATCCTGTGTCATCAGTGGAAAAAATAAACTGCTGCTGATATTCAAAAAAATTTTCTTGTACCCGTTGCGAAGCATGTGGCTCTGCTATAAGAACGATTGAGCTGATGTTCCTCAAAAGATCGTGGCAAGTTGTCCTGCCTGTCTTAGGAATGGGCACCTGGAGTGCTGGGGGAGAACTTGTCCTTTGTTGCCCTAGTGGGTGATGTCAGAGGGAGGTCACACCTAGCATCCAAAGCAGGAGGGGTATGAAAAAACAGGTTTTCTTATTTGAACAAAATCTCTGTACCGTGACCTCGGCAATCTCCTCCGTATCCCTGTGTGTCTCAGTTTTAAAGGCTGTTCTCTCAGGAGCCAGACTGATTATTGCACCTTTCTGTGTTTCACATTAGGTGCAGGGACATTTGGAAAGGAGACTAGGACAGGCTTCTAAGCTAGAAGTATGTGAGGCTGGCTGGAGAGGCAGAGGAGGGATGGGAGAGCATGGATGGCCTCTTCAGGCAGGGAATCTGCATGTGCATGATGCAGGAAGATGCTGTCTTGGAGGAGATGCAGTTGCTGAGGTCCTGCAAAGCTTTATTTGACTGAAGATGAGGTATTTGAGCTGATGTGTAGCTCCAAGATGAGCACTGAGAGTCCTATTCCTTGTATTTACTTCCATTTGAAGAGAGGATTGTGAACCTAATTTTACAGTTTTTCTGGGTGCAACTTCAGATCTTACCTTTGTGCTGGACACCTGAAGGCAGAGGTGGGCTTGCTGGTGCTCCTCAGGCCTAACATGCAGGCATGCTCCTGGGCCTCCCTGGGGGAGGGTTCTATCTTGCCCGGCTTTGCCTGTGCCCTTTCTCCCTGTGTGCAGCCTGCCTGCATCTCCCTAAAGCTCAGGCCCTTGCTGAGCCCCTTTCCTCTCCACTCCCTGGCGCTGTTGTTACAGCAACCCCACTTGTAGCGTGCATACTCTGACCCCTGCTCTGCTCTTCTAGCCCAGATCATCCCTGAATTCAGGCTGATGGGTGCTGCTTCATTGCACATACATGGTCATGGTTCAGAACAAGCAAGCTCAGAAGCAGCCTTGGACCACACGAGGCATTTCCTTGCGCCACCACTGCTGAAGAGCCTGGCGCTTGAGTTGGATTGTAGAGTCTGTAGTTGTGGCCCAAAGCTGACAGAGAAATCTTTGTAAAGAAAAAGCATTCTATTTCTAACTGTCTTAAGAGCACAGGCACAGTTCTGACCTGGCTTTTCTCTGTCCCACCTCCGAGAGCAACACTTGGGAGTTGCGAGGAGGCTGATGGTGGAGGGATGTAATGTCACCATGCAACTCGTCCAGCCCTTGGGCAGGCAGCTCCTTAGAGACTTTGCCCTGTGTTGATGCTGAGCTGCCCAGCGAACCTCGCACCCCTCTGTGTTGGTGTGGGGAAGCGCCACTGGTGGCTGGGGTAAAAACCTAGAGTTGCTTGGCCGCCAGTACTTGTTCCCTGGCAAGTGAACCTGTGAGGAGATGAGTTTTGGGAGAAGCAGGCTTCTGGCCCACATAGCAGGGGGACATGGGTTGTGATTTCAGCAATGGAGATCAGAAGTGTCCTCCAAAGTGCAGCTTTTCCTCCAGTTTGCTATTATAAGTGCTTCATGTGGCTATGATGTGGGAAGGGTGGGTGATGTGACTGTGGGCAGCATGCTGTCAGCTGAGCCAGCTCTTCCATCTTCCAGCAACAGTGATAGCCTTCCAAGTGCTCCCTGTCTTTAGCCAGTTATTGAGAGCTTGAGACTCCTTCCTGCCCATCACTCAGTGTAAATATACTTTGCAGCTACTGCCTGCTGGTGCCTCATGGCTGGCCCATGGCCCAAAGAGCTCTGCAGCTGGGAACTGGGGGGTGTGTGGCCAGTGGGTGACCAATGTCTTGTGTACATGGTGGCTCATTCCCAGGGAGTCCCTGGCAGTCCCACTGCTGCTTTTGCAGATCAGCAGGGCTGGACGTGCCAGGAGCCATTGATGTCGTATGGGCTGTGTAGCTTCACAATTGCCGTGGGAGAGTGCACCCTGTGTCCATCCTTAATTTTGCCTCGAGTCATGCACTCAGATCATTTGTGTGTGAGGTGAGCAGATGGGCTGTCTCACTTGCCGCTGTCTTGTTTTGCTGTCAGTGGTGCTGGCCACTTCCCTGGTTAAGGATCATAGGTGGCATTGGCAGGAACAAAGAGCAGGGCTCCGTGCCTCGGTTTCTCTGCTTCAGACTCCATACAGTAAGGCCTGGCTAGAGGCGTCTACGCTTGCAGGTTTATTCTCTTAATTTGCACTCAGCTACATTCAGTAAAGCCTGTGCTTTTGCATGGGTAGGTGGTACTGCAACGCAAATGGCAGAATGCATGTAGAGAACAAGGACAGCATAAAGGTTTCAAAAATATATTTTCTATTGAACACCCCAAGCCAGGATCAGTAAGCTCTGAAATTATATCTCCCTTCCCTGCTCCTGGCTGGTGGTTCTGTTTTGGCATCTTTTGGCTGGAGAGATGGTGAAACTGCTCCAGCAGAGGCATTGGCAGTGGAGGCAGATTTTTGCTGTCCCTGCCTGCCACACAGGGCCTGGGCTGCAAGGCTATGCGAATCCAGCTCACTTGCTCTAGTGGGAATTCCAGAGGGGAAAAAACAACTATCCTAGATGCAATATATAGAGTTGTCAGTGTTTGCAATTTCTTGCATTAATGCAGCCCTTTTACCTGATCTTTCCTCCCAGAAAAATCCCCTCCATGTGTAAAAAATTCTTCTAAAAGTACCAAAGGCCTCAGCGATGGGGAACTGGCTGGGTATGGCTAAGCCTTCTTGTCTGCCCAGCATTGATGGGGCTATAGGAAGGTGAGTGGAGCACTGGGGATGTGCTCTGCTCTCTGCTCACATTGCTATGCTCAACTTCTCTCCACGTCTGTGTTTATTCAGTGGCACTTTTGTGCATCCTTCCTGTCCCAGGGAGCTTCAGGTCATCAGAGCCTCTGAATTAAATCCAATTCTGGTCAAAAGGCAGTGGCCCTGTATGGTGTGCCGGCAGCTCAGTTTTTAATAGCTCAGTGTTTGAAACTGGAGAATCTCTGATCCTTTCTTGCACAGAGTACAGTGGATTAGCCTTAGCTGGTGCAATCAGCATGCACCCTTGCATATCGTGGTGGGGGCGGGCAAGGGTAGTTTTCTGTCCTGGTTGTGGGTGAGGTGGAACCCCATGTGTGTGCTCTGGGAGCAGGATGCCTTTGTGCTTTAACCCGCTAATCCTCCTGCTTGGGTGCAGCTGTGGTCACCACCTCACTGGACCTCCATGGCGCTGGATGAGGCCATGCTGGGCCTGCTGGCTGTAAGCTGGCCTCAGCAGGCAGGGAGTATCTACCTTCAAACTTGGTCGTTGTGTGGACTCTACCTCTCTGGCTCAACTGACCATGAAATTCTGGCATCCCATATTGCTTGTCAGCCTGAATCAGAGGCTTCTAGCATTTCAGTCAGAGCGTCCTTCCCACAGCCCTCTGGGAACACCTGTCCCTTGTCCCTACTGCTGGCCCTTTGCACAGCAGCCACCTGTTACAGGCAAGAAGCAGCATGAGCCGGGTGGCTGGCAGTGCTGTTTGATGGTGATCAGCCAGGGACTCCCAGTGGATCTGTGCATGCAGCAAAGGGCTTCAGTGCCTCCATCTTCCTGGCTTGCATTTTTCGTCCCTGTGTGCACTGATCCCTCGAGCTCGGAGGAGACTGGGATGAAGGCTGGGCCGGTTGTTCATTTTCTCTGCTCATTTTATCTTGTACCTGTGCCAGGGCACACTAAGCAGCGACCATGACGACAGAGACAGGCCCCAATTCGGAGGTGAAGAATGCACAGGAGGAGGCCCCACACCACGGGCCCCACTGCCATGGCTGCCAGCCCTGGACCCATGGCCAACAGCCGGGATGCTGAGGCCAGTGAGAAGCCTGTGGCCCAGCCTGACTCCCAAAATGCAGAGCCGGTGAGTAGACAACAGCTAGGAGCTGTGGGACAGAGGAGGGAAAGATTGTGGATCCAGATGACCATCGTGGGGAGAATACCTCTGCCTGGAAGCCTTTCCCGTGGCTAGTCCCGGCAGCACCAGGGAGCAGAGTTGCTGGTGGGCCCTTTCCCACACTAGCCCAATCTTTGCAGAGCAGAGCAGAGCAGAGGAGCCTGGGCAGAGTGGCAGGGGAGAGTCTGGCACTGGCTCGCCAATAGTTGACACCCCAAATCTATCAGCCACCTGATTCCAGCACTAAATTCGTCCACAAAAAAACTGCTACCTGCAGAGAGATAAGGTGGACATGCTGGGCCCGGGCGAGCCCCTGGCCAGTATGTGTCAGGCCCTATGTGTGAAGACACATTCTCTGTGTCTTGGCTCTGCAGCCTCTTGTCCTTACGAATGGCATTCGCCCTCCCCGCCTGGGGAGCAGGGCTATCCATCCTTGGGCCCTGCAAGCAGGGTATGGGGAGCTGCATGGCGCCTTTTTCAAAAATTTACCTGCTGCGATTCCTGTGCCAGGCTGTGAGCCCATACATACAGCCCGTGCATGCATGCAAGAAGCCTACAGGGCATAGCAGATGGAGGTGATCTACAATAGCTCTGTGCACCAATGCTGCCCCTTGCTGCATCCTTGCTCCCGTGCAGTTGTTGCCAGGAGTCCCGTGCTCTCCAACACTTTAGGCCTTACAACAGCTCTTAGGGGCACTTTCAAGAGACTAGCCCCATAAGACCACTGCTGTGGATAAGCTCTGCTGGCTCTTCCTTTAGCCTGGCTACCTCCCAGCTCTCTGTGCAGCTCCTTACAAAGTGGTGGCGCTTTGTGAGCAGGAGGACAGATGAAAGAGTACCAGAGCCCAAAGGCTAATGCACTGATTGTACTAGAAATGGCACTGCCATGGTATCCAAACCAAGGGAGGGAGAAGGGAGCAGGTAGCTGAGTGTCTCAGAAATCAACCATGTCTAGCAGAAATGGGAGCAGCTGCTTTACCCCAAGATTGACATTACCAGGCTGGATCAGCCAGCAAAGCAGAGGAGACTTAGCTCCATCCTAGTGAGGGAATGCAATGGTGTCTTGTTTCTGCTTGCTGAACAAGACAGTTCAGCATGATGGGCTCAGGTGCTGAAGTGACACCAAGCTCATGGGTGTCATTTTTTCCAGGGTCATTTCTCTGACTCTGACTGTCTTCCAAGGGCCTGGGATAGCAGACTTGACTGTAAACAGCCTGGCAACTTTTCCAGACCACAGAATCTCTTCTCCCCTCCTGCCTTGGCATGTGGCAGGGATGCTGAGCACTCGCAAACTGGGCATGCCACCACAGCTTCTTGGTCTCCTGCATTCCTGGCTTCAAGCAACCAAGGAGAGGGCCTCTTGTCTTGGCTTCATAGGGAGCCTGGAAAGATGGACCCATGGCCCTTCTCCCTTCCCTGTATCCCTGAGGGGCAGAAGGAGGGGGTTGTTTTCTGCTGTTAGCAGTTAGGAGCTCATGCCCCTGCTTGGCTGCCCTTGTCTCCCTACCTGTCCTCAGGGCTTTCCCCCAGCCCCCATCCTGGCAGCGGGTGCAGGGTAACACTGTGTGCCTCTTGCCCTCCAGGGCACAGACATGGAGGAGAAGGATTACAGCGAAACAGATGGGCTCTCTGATAAAACAACACCCAGCAAGACCCAGAAATCACCCCAGAAAATCACCAAGAAAGTCAAGAGTGCCCTCTGCAGAGTGACCCTGCTCGATGCCTCCGAGTATGAGTGCGAAGTGGAGGTAAGTCCCAGGCTAGGGCCCTCAGAGATGCTCGGCCTCTTCTCTCCCAGGGGGCCAAGGGCCACTGTCCCCTTTGGCATCCTTCATCATCAGGGCATCACTGGGGAGGGTCGGTGCTTTGGGCCAAAGCAAAGGCTTTGACAGGCTCATCTGAAGGACACAGAATCCCCAGGTTCCTCGGTGTGACAGTCTGGCTGCAGCTGCAGCAGCCCTGCTGGGTTCCCTCTTAGGGCCTGCTCTGCTCAGGTGTGTATGTGGTCTGGGAGGTACTGTGGACAGCTTCCCTGCCATGTCCTGTGCTGCCTTGCTCCAGCTGCAAGTTTATGGGGCTATGGAGGACAGGCTCACAGGAGGAGGAGTGCCAAAGGTGCACTTGCATACCTGCATGTGTGCATTCAGATTGCTCTGTGCAGAAGCTTCAGTGGGATATGTCGGAGCCAAGGAAGGGACACATGTCAGCCTGGGTACCCATCTAAGCTCAGGGCAAGAGGAGTTTTGCTGGCTTCCAGCAAGTACCCAGATGTCAGGGCTCCTCTAAAGAAAGCTTTCTAGTTATAGAGAATACAGAGAATATTTCTCTATATAGAGAAATGAATTGAGTCTCCTTTTGCAAGCTTCATCCACAGAAATGGCCATTTAAGTTGAATTCCTCCCCCCCCCCCCAAAAAAAAAAATCTGGAAAGACAGATCCTAGCAGGGAATTTCAGCCTGGAGACTAGCTATAGAAAAAGCATTTAAAAAGTGGAAGCTTAATAGGTGGAGGATAGAGCTTTGCCTAAAAATATGTGTATGACGCATGTCTATATATGCTAATGTATCTCTTGACACCCCAAGGGCGCAGCATGTTTGCTATCTTGTGTGCCAAGGCAAAAGATGTGTGTGCATGTGTTTGTGCGAAGAGGCCAATATGCACAGACCGCCTTAGCTCATGCAGCAAGGGACAGGCACAGACGTGTTTATGTGCATACACACACAGATCCACATGCATTTTGGCAGTGTTACAAACGGCACCTCACTCCATCCTCTCTGTTTTCATCTTGCAGTCCCTGGCTGTCCCTCCCTGTAAAACTGGCTAACTAGGAACCATTTGGTGAGGTGTATCAGCATCTGGAAGTAGCATGCTCGTGTGCCTGTGTATTTGTGCATAAACAAGGGTGATACACGTGTGTAACTGTAGATATATCATGTGTGCACATGGTGCAGTGGGCCCAGAAATACAGTCTGACACATTGCTCTCTGCGTAGGCTGCTTGCTATTTGTGTGGCATCGTGAGTGTTTAGTGGGGGGTGTGCACAAGCAAGTATGGACTGGGGAGGTACGTGAGTAAGCTGATTTCCCTGGCATTGCAGAGCAACTCTGGAACCTGCCTGGGAATGGCCCTTGCCAGTGGCCTTGTTCGCACTAGGAACTTGCTGCAGTGCTTGTTCAACTGCTGCCTGTGTGGTGACCTCTTCTTTTGCTCATTGTGTCTCGTAAACAGGTCTGGGGAAAGCGCGGGTTAATTCAAGGCTAGATTTTAGGCTATTTTCTATTGAAAAAGGATGGAGGAATGGCTCTGTGACCCAGGTATGGTGGGAGAGCCAGCTAGAATGAGAGGAGTGTTTGCTGGGAATGCCCATTTCTGCCCCAGCACTTGTTGCTGTCTCCTACCTGCAGACTCATTCAGGAGGACAGCACCTCCTTGACCTGCGTCATGTTCCTGATGGGAAGGACATCTTTTCAGTTAGGAGGACTAGGAACTTTGCTTAAAAAAAGCAAAAGCTGAGGCTCTTCAGAAACAGAAATCCTTATGCCTTTGTCAGGGAGACCTTTGCAATTGCCACTGGTGACTTGGTTAAATGGATTTATGTTCCCCAGTGGGAGTAGCAGTGGCTCAGGAGCTGGCTGTGTAGAACAGACCTGGATTTGTATGCAGGTCCTTTCTCTCAGAGATCTTGGTTGCAAAGGATTAATGAACATAAGAAGTGTGGCTGTATGCTTTCCATAGTTGCATGGGAATAGCGAGTGTCTCGAGGCAGCTGGTGGTCAGGGGCCCTGGCCCCTGGACTGCCATACTGAAAGCAAGTTCTTTGATCTCAGTGCTCCTGCAGCCCTAACTGTCACTTTAACAGTGGAATGGGTCACAAAGAGCTTTAGTGACTGTGGAAAGATGGATAGTCGCGAAGATGAAAGCCCTCTCGAGCAATAAATGGAACACATCACTATAGTGACTAAAATGAGCTCACGAGGCTGGAAAGACCAACGACCCTAAGCCCTGACATAGCACATGGTGTTGTCGTCCTTCCTCCAAATCTCCCATTAGTATTTGCCTAGCAAAACCTGCATGCAAACAAAAATCTACGTTGTAAAATTGCCGACTGCTTCATTAGCAGAACAATACTGCTCATAGAGCTTAGGAAAAGCAGTGCATTACTGTCCTGGCTCCTGTTGGGCTTTGTTTCTAGTCTGGTTTTGTTTCCAGTGCATGTGGTTGGCAGTGAACAGGGATGTGTGGAGCTGTATTCATGGTAAAGCCAAGCTTTCTGTTGTTGCAGTGCAAAGGATGGGGGTTGATTCAACTAACAGGGAGCTTCTACACTATAAAAACGTCATTTGGGGTGTGGGGGAGAGAAGAAGGAATTGTTTTGCAAATAAAGGCTTCTGCTGAAGTTCTTTCTTTCCCTTGGGCCTGATGGAAAGAGTTTTTGCCTTACCTGCACACGGGGGATGTTAATGCTTAATTCTGTTTAAAAAAAAAAAAAAGCCCCAAAGGAGAG